CGCGTCGCTGATCATTTTCCCAGACAGCTCCCAAGGGAACCTGCTTCGACTTGTGCCCTGAGGCCCTGCCCACATAAGCCCTGGACTCCTGGGCGTCGACCCCATGGATCTATGTCAAGAAGACACGAACCGCTCCTTGACCATCGTACATAAGTCCGCCGAGCTCCCAACTTCCCAGGGCCAGATGTAGTCGACGGGGGCGTGGAGGGGGCCCATGAGCTCCAGAGGGAAGGCCTTGAGACAGACCTGCTGGTTGATGGTCGCCGCGTGGCTAAGTTCTCGCAGCTTGAAGAGCACAGGAGCACGCGGGAACAGCGGCGCCTGATCCAAGACCGAGATCGCCTCAACTCGCGAGGCCAACACCTCCGCAACCACAAAGAAATCGAGGACTTTAGCTGCCACTGGTGTCTGCTGCTCCTCCGACGACACTTTCAAACTGACCCAGTCATCCAGGGAGCCTCTCGAGCTTTGTTGGGGATCAAGTTGGGCACGCTGGGGGCTGCACCTGCACGTCGGGGCATCAGGCGCAACCAGGGTACCGCGGACCTTTTGCAACCACCCCGACTCCGTGAGCACGTCGGGCTCGAAGTTGAAGTCCCTTTGGACGATCCATGGCCGATCTTGGGCCATCACATACTCGCCAACAGCTTGCAGGAGTGCCAAATTGGGCCCCGAGAGCTCCTTGCCAGTCACGAAATAAACAGATATCACACCCAGCCCCCGAGGGAAACCAACGTTGACGATACGAGCACGGACACGACTCTTGCAGTCCTCGAAAACCGCGGTCGTTGTTGGCGTCGAGCCAAGCTGAGACCGAACCGCAACATCAACACCTGAACTGCTCTGCTGTGAGCCAGGCCCAGTGCTGTGCGCCGTTCCAAAAGACAAAAGGTAACCATGCCGTTGTCCCCAGCTCATCGCAGATTCCTGCTTGGTGTCGCTTTTGATCCTGGTCTCCCGGATGCAGCAGGCATGCGGAAGGGAGCTAGCCCCACTTGCTTTGCCTTCGTCGGCCAACCATTCCAAGATAGACTCGAACGTGCTCCAAGAGTTCACACTCATGCCCGCAATGGTTAGAGAGCTGACAGCAACTGACTGCGGCTGCCTGCAAGCCTCTCCCGCAGCAAACGAAAAAGGAGCAGATCCCTGTGCCACACCGGGAACCCATTCGCCTGCAAGAATATTACGAGCAGGAGGTCCGCCTCCCCTCTTGTCGGGTCTTGACCGCGGGATTTTCGAGTACGTGTGGGGGGGGGGGGGGGGGGCAAATGGTGGGGAGGAGGGCTAGCCGCTTCAGCGGGTCCAGCAGCTCCACAGCTGCCAGCAGGTGGCGACGATGTGCCTGGTAGCCGCCATGGCACACCAGGACTTGGCGCTCTAACGCCCGTGGCGACGCTGTCCAGTAGCCCCGATTGCACACCAGGGCTTTGCACTCGAACGCCTGATTCCTGCGCAGGAACACCAGCTCCAGCAAGGCACCGTGGTGCGTGTGGCGGCCTCTGCGACTCCATCGGAGCCGTGAGTGCACCTCCCGACGCCGAAGACACAGCCGACGATCGCATCAGTGTCGGCGCTGCCCCCAGCCCAGGGGAGGAACGCCCCTGGCCACCTGGGGGAATGCTGGGGGGGCCCTCTCGACGTTGACGATGGCCCCGAAGCCGCAGCGCATGCTGGCCGAGGGGCGTGGCGTCCAGGGGCTGAAGCCCTGCCCCCATGGGCCCTGTGGCCCACAATTGGCGGCTGTGGCCTCGCCCAGTGTCGGCCAGTCGGACCCAAGGCATGCGCCCACCGCACTGCCACCTGGGCTGCGGAAGCGCATCGGGTCGAAGGTCAGACCATCTCGTCGACAATGGACGGCGAAGCCCGTGGCCTCCTCCCAATCAGCATCGATCAGGTTGCCCTCCAAGAACCTCTTCAGATGGCCAGGACTCCGACGCGCGAGGCTTCTTGACTCGGATGCCGAGGGCTGCCGCTGCATCAGTGTACTTGCCTTTGGCCTCAAACTGACCCTCTGGCGATGCGGTTCGGAGGGCTTCGGCAGCAGCTGCAACCTCCTTCTGTTTCTGTTCATAGCCGCCACTTCCCAGGAGCTCCGTGCCAATATCCTCCCCATCTCCTGACTCTGCTGGGATGTGCTCACCGCCACCGCCACAGGCGCCCGAAGCACCAGCGCCACCAGCGCCAGCAGGAGCGGCAGGAGAGGCGGCCGCGCTGCGCCGCTCTGCAGCCTCCCGCTGGAGCCGCGCGAGCACTGCCAAGGCGTCCGTGGCCTCCCGGGTCCCCAGCACTGCATCATCGAAGCTTGCGCTGACTGCTTGGACCGGGTCGTCGAACTCATTGGCCTGCAGCTTGACCAGCATGGCCTCGCCCTCCTTGAGCTTCACGTGCTCGTCCTGGAGGGCGACGGGTGAGCTCGCCGAGCTCCTTGTCCAGAGCTGCCTGCTGCTCCTTGACCGCCTCGATATTGGCTTCCAGCTTGCCGACCTTTTTGCGCAGCCCCTCCATGAGCCAGCGCTGCGCCTGGGCCGTGAGCGGCTTGCCCTCGCTGGCCTTGGCGAGCTGGGCTGCCTCTGCAGCCTGGACGCTGGACGGGTTCAGCCCCTGCTCCTCCATGAACGCCACCACATCCTTGTAGGTGACCCCGCCAGCTCCGCCGTTGCCAGCCAATACCACTGGATGGCGGGTGCCCCCCTTCTGGCCGCCGCCGCCTCCTGCATGCTGCGGGGGCTGCTGAGGCTGCGAGCCAACCCAGGGTGGAGTCGCTGGTGCGGGGTCGCCTTTGAGCTCCGCGATATGGACCCGCGGCTCGTGGAGGAGGCGCACCTGGGCCGAGTGCATCGGCGGGGGCCCATTCGCCCAGGCTCCCCGCGGAGGAGCTGGCGCTGCGCCGCGCACGCGCCGCGTCGACCACCTTCTGAGGCGCAGGCTTGTCGCACTGCCTGCACTTGACCCCGGATGCCCAGTTGTCCAGGCAGCCACAGCCACACCCCCCAGAAGGGGGTCTTCGCGCCTGGCAGGACATCGGGCGGAGGAGCCAGCGGCCGCCCGCGGGCAGGGCGACGGGTGCGGGCGTGAAGTCGCTGTCGAGTGGCTCGCAGGCACGAGCCGCTCTGAAGCACGCGCTTGCAAGCACAGGGGCCCCACAGCGCCTGTGCCAGAACGGCTAGGAGCAAGAGAAGGAGATGGAGGGGGAGGAATCGGAGGAGCAAGGGAAGGACCTCCTCTTCGTCTTCCTCATCCTCCTCCTCCTTCTTTTTATCCTCCCCTTGCTCCACTCCTTGTAGTTGAATAGCTCCTCCCTGTCGCGCCCCGAGGCGGGTCGGCACGGCGGGCCTAGCGGCCTGGCGTCTCGCTTGAGATTTCTAGATCACTCATGGTCCTTGAAGGAGGAGCTTCACGGAGGAGCTTCACGGAGGGAGGGCGGCCCAATTTCAAAGTGGGGCGCTCGCCCTCGCGCCGCGCACATTGTAAGTCAAGGGCAGAAAAAAACGCCCCTACCCTGGTTTACGAGGCGCTGTGCTCTGAAACTCCTGTGGGCTCACAGGGTAAACCCTGCGTGATGTGCCGCGTCCTGGCGGCTCTAGGCTTTGGGGGTTCCCAGGAGGTTTACAGACCACGCACTTGTAACCCAGGGTAGGGTCGTTTTTTCATCCTTCAAGTAAGAGCCGCTTTCAAAACGGGGCTCTCGCCTCAGCGCCGTGCATGTTCGTTCCTTCTCTGCAACGCTGCAAGAGCTTCACTGGTGGAGGGCGGTCCACTTTCAACGTGTGGCTCTCGCCTTCGCCCCGCGATGTTCAACAGCTTAACAGATGGAGGGAAGGAAACACACAGACACAATTAATCGTCGACTCCCAGGAAAATATGCCAAAAATATGGGAAGTGGGGGGGGATACAGAAACCCAAGAAATATAGGAAAAGATGGGGAATCTTTTTATTTGTGTCTATTTATTTGTGTGTCCTGGGGCCCCTTCACAGATGGAGGGCGGTTTCATTTTGAAATGCGACTCTCGCCCAAGCGCCGCGCACGATGTCGGATTGTCAGGGCTCTGTCCCTCCTCCTGCGCCCTTGCGTCGCAGCGGCAACCGTGGCACCGGGTGCCCACTCTTGCTGCGAAGCGGCTTGGCCTTACCAGCCAGGCTACCCCTGGGTCCCTTCTCGGCCTGCGGCCCCAATTCGCACGAGACTCGCGAGGGACACTTGTGCGGGCACCGGCGCTGGCACTGCCCAGAGCGCCGGGTCTTCGCACGCGCGAGGTTCTCCGACGGGCCTTCGCTGCCTTGTCGCTCGATGTTGGCTCTCCCCTTCCCCCCCGCCTCGGTCTCTCGGCCGTCGGTCTCTTGTCCCTGGCAATCCTCCTGGACGTGTTCTCTAACGGGTATCACACCCTCGAAGCCAAACGAGTTCATCCCGAGATATGCCCGGGCACGGATTCGACGCGCATCGGCGTGGGATGCTCGAATCCAGGCGGTTCTCAGGAGGTAGTTTCACATCTAGTCGGGCGTGCGCTTTCGTCCATCGGTGCGGAATCCTTCGTGCCTTGCCGCACGGGTATAGCCCCCTTGAGGGGAAGCGGATTTGCCCGTGGACGGGTTCTCTTTATTGGGGAAAAAAATTACGTGGTCTCGCAGTTCTGATGTCCCAAGAACCTTGTTCTGGCAGGATTCAGGATGGTCAAGACGCAGCAGGAACATTGATTCGCGGCATTGAAGTCCCAGGTCAAACGTCTGTCTTCCAACGGGACATTTTTCTTCAGCGAATGTGACTCCTTCAAGGTGCCTGTGAAGAGGGAGCTTGGAGGGAGAGAACATTTTTGTAATATTGTTGGTGAGTCTTGGAATGACAACGGCCCTCCTCCCCTTCCTCCTCCTCCTCCTCCTCCTCCTCCTCCTCCTCCTCCTCCTCCTCCTCCTCCTCCTCCTCCTCCTCCTCCTCCTCCTTCTCCCTGTGCTCCTCTCCCCCCCCGTGCCCTCCCGAGCGTGCCCGCCCGCGCGTGGAAAAGGCGCTCTGCTTCTGCCAGCTCGCCGGAAACGCCGCGTGCGGCGCGTCGGACCCCCGCCGCGGGGGGGAGGTGTGGGGGGTCTCGGAGCCAGGGGAACTTGAGGGAGGGATGATTCTTACAATATCGCTGGTGAGTCTTAGAATGACAACGGCCCTCCTCCTCCTCCTCCTCCTCCCTCCTCCTCCTCCTCCTCCTCCTCCTCCTCCTCCTCCTCCTCCTCCTCCTCCCTGTACTCCTCCGCCGCGGGGGGAGGTGTGTCGGGGGTGGACAGACCTCCTACCCTGACACGTCGATTAGCGAATTGGCCGTTTTCGGCTCCCGAGAGGGCGTCGCGGCCGTCATGTTTGCGGGTCCAGGTCCGTTGGTTTCGGTCCCAGGCCGTGTTCACTAAAGGTGCATGCGCGACCCCAAAGCCGCGGGGGGGAGGTGTGGGGTCTTGGAGCCAGGGGTTCCGGCGAGCAGGAAGGGCGGGAAGGGGTTCGAGGCTTCGAACCGGTTTTCTGCCTTTGTCGGCCTTTTGCGGGCTGCTTCCGGGCTCTGGGACCATCAGAAACAGATCCAGGGTAAAAATCTGCACCAACAGGTGTATCCCGGGAGGGGTCTGGGGACCGATTTTGAACGTATTTGGCTTCATCTCCCCTTCTGACCCGTTTCCTGGGGTCCGAACCAGTGCAGACCCCCCAGGCGCTACCAGAGGGGGTCGATTACCCATAAGAGTGACCCTTCGCCGAAGTGGTTTTTGGTGTGGGTCCACTGCGCCCCCCGATCGTTGAATGCGATGCGATAGCAGGAGATCGTGTTTGTCTCCCCTGGTGATAACGGGCGTTACTGGTGGGGGAGGGGGCAAGTCACGCCTGGGAATGCTTAGGAATGGCTCTTTCCCAGACAGCGCTGGTGCGAACTGTGACGTGACTGGGGGCGGAACGGGGGGGGCGGGGCTGGTCCCGGGCGGTGTCGCGAATAGTGTATTTTAGGCTCGTGTGGGGGTCGACTGCCCGCCTGAGGGCGGGGCTGTCCGTGCGCAGACCCAAGGCTTGCCAACCCGTGACAGTGACCCTTCGTTGGAGTGGCTTTTGGTGCGGGTCCACTGGGCCCTCCGATCGCTGAACGTGATGCGATGGCGGCGGCCTGGGTGCCCGGCTTCGGTCCCCTCGCGTCCCCCCAAAGCTTCGCAGCAAAGGTCCCCCTTGCCTGGGCCGCTCTTGCGGACAGCCGCTGGAGGTACGGAGGAAGGGAGGGAGGGGAAGGGAGTGGTAGAGAGAGAGGGGAGGGAGCGGACGGGAGGGGAAGGGAGGGGTGGGAGGGAGGCGACGGGATGAGAGACGAGGGGATGGGAGACGAGGGGAAGCCAAGGAGGGGAAGCGAATACTCCAGATTTCGTAATAAAAGGGAGGGGGTCTGGACCCTCCAAGACAAGCCAGTTCAGACCCCCCCCGTGGGAGAACCCTCCAAAACATCGTCCCCAGACCCCCCCAGGCCCTCCAAGATAGCCTGGAAGAGACCCCCCCCCGAAATGAGACCCCCCTCCCTTTATTACGAAATCTGGAGTAGCAAACAACAGCATGAGCATGCACTTTCGAAGCTCCGCGCGGATTGCTCGGATCTGTGCTGGCCCCCCCTGGCGGGGCCTCTGGCGCCGCCCCTGGCGCGCTCTGCGCGCCAGGAAGGGGGTCCAGCGCGGATCCAAGAAATCCGCGCGGACTTCAACAAGTTTCTGTATATAACTTGTTGTTCCTCACGAGAAGGGAAGGGGGAAGTAGGAAGACAGGGAGGGAGGCAGGGAGGGGGGAGGAAGGGGAGGGGGGGGACCAGGGGGGGAGAGGCAGGGGGCAGGCAAAGAGCAAGGATTGGAGGCAGAGAGGGTCAGGAGAGGAACGAGGGAGGCGGGTAGGGGGACATCGAGGGGAGGGAACGGAAGGGAAGGAAGGGGGAGGCTGGCAGGGCAGGAGAGACTCGAGGGAGGAAGGGGACACGAGGCAGGACCGGACGGAATGGACGCAGGGAAAGGAAGGGGAGCCCGCAGGCAGGCTGGGAGGCGGGGAGGGAGGGGAAGGGAGCGGGAGGGAGAGCAACAGGGGAGGCGGGATGCGATGCAGGCATGGGGGCTGTGGCGGGGGAGGGGAGCGGAGGCCCCCCCCCTGGTGGCAAGGACTGTTCCTGCCCCGAGGGCTGCGACGTCGCCTGGAACCACTCGGCGACGGTCACCTTCCGGAACAAGAACGAGGCCTCCGGCTGCGACGCCACCACGGGCCTGCTGACCATCCCACGGTCGCAGCCCCTCCCGCCACTCCGCGGGAGGAGGAGGAGGAGGAGGAGAGGAGATGAGTAACAGAGGAGGAAGTGAGAGGACAGCAGGACTAGGAGGAGGCGGATGAGGCGGAGAGGAGAGGAGGAGGACGAGGAGGACGACTAGGGTGAGGAGGACGAGGAGAGACGATTAGGAGGAGAGAGGAGAGGACGAGGATGAGGAGGAGGAGGAGGAGGGAGGAGGAGAGGAGGAGCAGGACTAGGAGGAGGCGGATGAGGCCGAGGAGGAGGAGGAGGGGAGGAACGAGGAGAGGAGGAGGAGAGCAGGACTTAGGAGAGGCTGGATGAGCGAGGAAGGAGGGGAGGAGGAGACGAGGAGGAGGATGACGAGGAGGAGGACGAGGAGGAGGAGGAGGAGTAGGAGGAAGGAGGAGGACGACGAGGAGGAGGAGATGAGGAGGAGGAGGAGGAGGGAGGCCCCCTGGGCTCGGAGGGCAGGAGCCGGCAGAGGCCACCAGCTTTCGGTGGCGCGCGCGGATCTCCTAGGTCGGCGCCGGGGGGCGCCGCCAGGGGGGGGGAGGGTCCAGCGTCGATCCAAGGCATCCGCCCCGAACTCCGATGAGCTGCGTATGTGTAGTTTGAGCTCCTTCTGAGCTCCTTCCCTCCAGCCTTCCCCATCCGCCTCCTCCTCCTCCTCCTCCTCCTCCTCCTCCTCCTCCTCCTCGTCCTCCCCAGGCACCGGACGCCGTGACTCTTTCACAACGTGGCTCCCCCGATATTCAAACCCCTTCAAAAGAACTTACTTTTCATCCTGCGTAAACCGATGTGGGCCCCCAAAGGCCGAAGATTGTCAAGCCTTTCCGCCGCGCTCTCTTCGCAACGCGAGGATGAGGACGTCAGGGCCTCTCCCTGGAGGAGGAGGAGGAGGAGAGGGAGGAGGAGGAGGAGGAGGAGGAGGAGGAGGAGGAGGAGGAGGAGGAGGAGGAGGAGGAGGAGGACAGGAGGAGGCTGGCCACCCCCGCGGTCGTACTTCCGCGACGTGGAGTTCCTGCAGACGTGGTGTCCCAGGCGCATGCACGACCTGCTCGCGGAGATGCTGCGGGAGGGCCTCGGGGCCTACCAGGAGCGACGGGCGAAGGAAGGAGCCAGTTCCGACCCAGACATGCTCGCTTTTTTGAAAAAAAGGAATAAAACACGCGGGAAAACGGGTCCCAGGGAGACGTCCCGGGATCGCGCTTCGAACAACGTATCTTGACGAAGAGCCCAACCTTTTGTAAACACGCGGCGGTGATGCATAGGGCCAGTATGATACATAAGAACACTGAGGGGGTTGCAGTGCCCCTGAACTCTTCGCCGAATAATGTCAGACTGCGCTCAACGTTGCCTCTTCGCGCACGCATTCTCAGGACTCAAATTGCAAACGCTGTGGCTCAAGGCGTGCGAGGGGTGCGCCGAACTGGGGTGCGTCACCATGCGGACGCAGCCACGGGGGCATTCGGTGGAGCGCCAAAGGGGGCCACAAAACGTGCGAGGGGTGTGCCGAAGTGTGGCGGGTCACCATGCGGACGCAGACACTGCAGTTTTCGGCGGAGCCTTCCGCGCGGCCTGCGGGATGGGCCGAGGCTCCACTTGGAATGCTGAAAAGAAACGCCGTGCACCCCTGTGGCAAGCCAGCTCGGGGCGGTGGACTCCGAAACGTTTCTTGGCCCCCCCCGGCCCGCGCCCGTGCCCCTGGCCACGATCTGCCAGCTCCCCCCCCCCTTGAACGCCCCCCTCGGGGACGCACCCGGCCTTCCCCCGCTCGAGAGGCCGGGAGGTGTGTGGCCTGCGCGGGGCGCGGCCGCCCCCCTCTTCTGCCCTCCTCCTCCTCCTCCTCCTCCTCCTCCTCCTCCTCCTCCTCCTCCTCCTCCTCCTCCTCCTCCTCCTCCCCCATTGGGCCTTGCCCCCCTTGAAGGCAGGCCGCCGTTCGCGGTTTTGCTCACTTATCGGGGCCACAAGATCTCGTTAATTGTTTTTAACATGCTCTAGGCCTCCCTCCCCTCCTCCTCCTCCTCCTCCTCCTCCTCCTCCTGCTCCGCCCTCTCCTCCCGCTCCTCCTCTCCCTCCTCCTCCTCCTCCTCATCCTCCTCCTCCTCCTCCTCCTCCTCCTCCTCCTGCCCTCCTCCTCCTCCTCCTCCCTCCGCCTCCTCCTCTCCTCTCCTCCGCCTCCTCCTCCTCCTCCTCCTCCTCCTCCTCTCTTCCTCCTCCTCCTCCTCCTCCTCCGCCTCCCTCCTCCTCCTCCTCCTCCTCCTCCTCCTCCTCCTCCTCCTCCTCCTCCTCCTCCTCCTCCTCCTCCTCCTCCTCCTCCTCCCTCTCCTGCGGAGCGTGGTGCTCACTCAAGCGCCGATCAAGCGCCGATGAGTTGCTCAGAGGGCGGTCTGCAAGCTGCCGCCATCCTGTCCACCTCGCGGCGCAGGGGGACTCCTCACGCGCGGTCTGTGGCCCACGGGTGGCCCATCGGCCCTGGCAGCCCCGTGGGCAATCCGGGCTCCCGGCGCCTTCGCCGAGCCATCACCCTCGGAGCCCCTCGGCAGGTCACCGTCCCAGGCCCTGTCCTCCCCGATCGTGGCCCGCGGAGCAAGCCGAGTTCCCGACCCCCTGGTACTGTGTTTTGTTTCAATCGGCGGCCTCGGGGGTCGCGAACGTCTCCCCGGGGCCAGCATTTCGCCCCTGATCCATGTCTGATGGTCCCAGGGCCCGATAACGAAATCCGAGGGCTGACATCGAGGAAAGACCGCAGGATGAACAAAGATCCTACCGACGGAGATGGGAAGGGCTCGGATTGCGCACAGACGGCCCCCCCGAGTGTCCCAGCTGGCCTCAGCAGGCCCGTCGAGTAGTCTAGGGCGGTCTCAACACCGTCGCGCCGCCTCTAGCGGCGCCGCTGGGGCCTGGGGCGCTCCTCGCCTCAGAGCTGAAGTGTCCCGACCGCCCCAGACGACAGTCGGCCCAGATTAGTAGGTCGACCCTGCCAAATCGAGGGTACCCTTGTGTCCTGTGTCTCGCGGCCCATGTTTCCTACATTCCTGAGGCAATGTGGCCCTCGGAAGGCTCTCGTGTCCTCTCGCGTGTCCTGTCCAATCGAGTCCGACTTCACTCGGGGGGGCTTGTTGAGCCCAGCTGGCCAGCCGGGACAGACCCGGAAGGCTGCCTGTGCACAACCCGAGGCTTTACCGGCCGGAGGTGTGGGCCTTCGCCGAGCCACCAAGGAGGAGGAGGAGGAGGAGGAGGAGGAGGAGGAGGAGCCCCCTCGGCAGGAGCACGTGGAGGCGGAGGCCACCGTCTGGCAGTGCATCCACGCGGCCCCCGTGGTGAGCACCGCGTGGCTCCACCTGCACACGTTCTGCGCCGCCGGCAGCCTGGACGGGCTGCCCGCCGGCAGCGGCGTCGCCTGGTGCCCGGCAGGGAGCAGCGCACCGCGACATGCTCGCGTCGCAACAAAATCTGGACGGGGGGGGGGGTTGGACCACGTTCGGCCTCGGGGGGCCCTCGCTGAGCCTCGGGACCGTCAGAAGACAGCTCAGGACGAAGATCCAGTCCCGGGGAACGGGTGGGGACTTCCAGGAACCCCGTATTGAACAAATCAGGACGTCGCGTAATTGGGTCCGAAACGTCGCGCCGCCAAATGCCGCTTGCATCATATGCCATGTAAATCAGCATGCGCAAGCATGGCTCCGCTCCGCCTCAGGGCTTTACGAGAGCACGTCTCGAGAATGATGCGTTCCAAGGCTTCCGAGCGTTCCAGGACCTCAAGGTTTACGAATGTTGCACACGAGCTGCAGAGACAAGGGTCGCTGGATACTCTGCAGCTCCTGGAACGTATCTTGAGCCAATCGCATCATGACCTCACTCTCGCATTTAATGATGGTCATGGACGTGCGATCCGCCCACCTGGGCCCATGACACCCTTGCGGCAGAAGGCTGAACCAGCCATGCACAGTTACGATACGGGCTACTATGGGGGGTCACGATGGGGCCACGAGGGAGGGGGGGCACGATGGGGGGCCACGACGAGGGGATAAGGATAGGGAGAGGGATGGTGCAGGAATAGGGGCTTCGGGCCAGCGATACAGGGATATGGATATAGGGATTGGGAGCGGGATGGGGATGGGGATTGGGGTGACTCAGGAGGGAAAAATCACACACAGACACAATTAGTCGTCGATTCCTTAGAAAAGAGGGGAAACTATGGGAAGTGGGGGGGAAGACAAAAACCCAGAAGATATAGGAAAATATGGGGAATCTGGTTACTTGTGTGTATTTATGTGTGCGTCCCAGGGCCCCTTCAGTGACATGAGTAAAGTCGGGGCCCTGAAGAAGGAACCCTTCCCGTTGGGGAGGGGCTCCGTGTTCCTTGATTGCTTCACAGTTTACCTTGGGCTTTCCTTCGGTCTTCGATGGGGAATCGGAGTTCCACTTGTGGATGAAAGGGGCCTCTTTCCTTATCTAGGGTTCCTTAGGTCAGCGCCCCGACTGTAGGAATCGAGGCACAGGGACTGGGGGATCGAGGCAGGAATCGAGGCATATGGGAAGTGGGGGGGAGACTAAAACCCAGAACATAATAGTAGAATGTAGGGAACCTGGTTATTTGTGTGTGTATTTACGTGTGTGTCCCAGGGCCCCTTTGAGTGACAGGAGTAGGAATCGAGGCGCAGGGATTGGGGTAAGGATACGCATATGCGGATGCGGACGGGGACGGGGGCGGCAGTGGGAGGCCACGGAAGGCGGCGGGTCGCCCAGCCGCGTCCGGACCAGGAGGAGGAGGAGGAGGAGGAGGAGGAGGGGGAGGAGGAGGAGGAGGAGGAGGAGGAGGAGGAGGAGGAGGAGGAGGAGGGGGAGGAGGAGGAGGAGGAGGAGGAGGAGGAGGAGGAGGAGGAGGAGGAGGAGGAGGAGGAGGAGGAGGAGGAGGAGGAGGAGGGAGGAGGAGGAGGAGGAGGAGGAGGAGCACCCATGAGTTTCTTAGACAATGTCGATGGAGCCCTCACAGACAAGCTGCTTAGGGAACTCTGATCCGATCGGTCTGTCGACTTCGGTTGGCCCCATCCGATTGGATTCCGACTTCCTGACGATGCTTGCATGGTGCCGTTGTGCATCCCAGCGCGGCCAGTGCGATTCGACTTCGGCTCCGCGCCAGTGCGGCCCGATTCGATGCACACGATTCGAGGCCAAGTTTCTTGTCATCTTCCTCCTCCTATTCTTCCCTCCGCCTCCTCCTCCTCCTCCTCCTCCTCCTAATTCTCCTCCTCCTCCTAATTCTCCTCCTCCTCCTCCATTTTCTTCTGCTGCGACCACTGTGAACCCTGCCCATGCGGGCCCAGTCGACGCGGGGGTGTCGGACACCCGTGTTGCCGCGCGCTCCTTGTCATCCCAGAGGGAGGGGAGTAGACAGCAAGGAGGCGGGACGAGGGACGGAGAGGAGACGGGAGCGAAGCGTGGGCGGCAGTCGTGGATTCCGGCCCAGGTGCGCCCAGATGACGACGGCCGATCAGGCCGACTCTCGGTAGCAAACCATGGGAGCCTTGTGTACCCTCGATAGTCTACCTTTTGCGTCGACAAGCGTCGACGAGCGCCTGGGAGTGGACGAGACGGCGCCGATCTAGCGCCAACCAGCGTCGATCAGCGTCGATTGTGGCGTCGATTTAGCGTCGATTTAGTGTCGACTCGCAAGAGCCGACAAGATGATATGGGAGGCTCCCATGAGTTTCAGGAGGGGAAATAACACAGACACAATTAATCGTCGACTCCCCCAAAAATATGGAAAAATATGGGAAGTGGGGGGGAGGGAAGACAGACACCCAGAAAATATGGGAATAGATTGAGAATCTTTTTGTTTGTGTGAATTCATTTGTGTGTCCTTGGGCCCCTTCAGAGTTGCCACCGCAAGGCCGACCTGCTCGCGGAGGAGGTCGCCAAGTGGGCCGCCGAGCAGTACGGCCGTCCCCCCAGCCAGCGCCCGACGAGCTGCGCGGAGCTCGGGTGCGGGAAGCCCGGCCCGGGGGGCCAGTGCTCCTGCCACGAGGGGTGCGTCGGGGGCGGCAAAGAGGGGGGTGAGGACTCGGGGTGGGGTGGATATCCTGGCGGGGGCCATGATGTCTCCCCAGATTTCAGGGCGCCTCTTCTTATTTCGTTGCGTCCCTGCCCCCCCCCCCCGCTGGGCCGCGCACATGCCGCCTCTTGGACGCCCCCCTCTTGGCCGCTCCCGAGGTGCGGGCAGGCGGACGACTGCTGCGACGACTACGCCAAGGACTGGTGGCGCGCACAATCATCTTCCTTGCAGCCACCTCCCTGCTCCTTCCCTCGGAGGAGAAAGAACTTCATACACATAAAATGTTGGCGCTCCGCGCGGACCTCCAAAAGTTTGTGTTTATGCCGTTGTGTCTTCCTCTATTCCTCCGCCCTTCTCCATACTTCTTCCCTCCTTTGTTCCTTTTGTTCTGCACTTCCTGCCTTTCCTCTCTCTCCTCCTCGTCCTCCTCCTCCTCCTCTCCTCCTTGCCCTCTTCCATCCCTCTTCCCTTGAGAGCAACTCCTCTTTGTCGCACCGCGAGACGTGTCGGTGGGGCGGGCCAGACGTTACGCTTGAAATTTCCTCAACATTTCTGATCTTGAAGACTGAAATTTGCAAAGGCTTCGCGGATGGAGGGCGGGTGGTTTTCAACATGTGGTTCTCGCTTCAGCGCCGCGCACATTCGTTGGAAAAGTTTGCAGCAGGCTCACGGATTGAGGGCGGTTGCTTTTCAAGATGCGATTCTCGGTTAAGGGCCGCCCGTAATCGTCTTGAAAAAAAGTGAACATCATCACGGTTAGAGGGCGTATGGTTTTCAAAATGTGGTTATCGCCGTAGCGCTACGCACATTCGTTTTGAAAGTTTCCACCAGCTTCGCGGATGGAGGGTGGCTCGTTTTCCAAATTTGGTTCTCGCCGTAGTGCCGCGCACATACGTGTTGAAAGCTTGCGGCAGCTCCAAGGATCCGAGCATGGTAGACCACCACCACCAAGATCGGAAAATGACGCGCGATCCGTTTTGGCGCAGTTCGGCTATTGTGGGCAACCGCTGTCGCGGTCCCGCCGCCAACGACGACTGGGCCCCCTTCCCTCGCGCCCACGGGCCAGAACTGGGTTCATCAATACAAACGCGGTGGTGGTGTGTCTAAGTTTGATTACACAGGGACCCGATTTGTTCACACCACCGCCAAGATGCAGAGTTTTTGTTTTGGGAACTTCCCTCCCGTGGCGCCCGTGCGCCGCGCTGCGCTCCTGTTCGGCGCCTCCGTCAACGGCTGCCTGTATTATTCTGGCAGGCGGTGGTGGCGTATATAAATCGGATCCGCAAATTTGTCGCACGGACGAACTCCCAAGAACGGTGTTTTGGCACGATGTAAGACTGCCAGTGCGCAGCGGTCGCGTTGATTCGCGGCGTTTGAGTCCCAGGGCTGGCGTTTTGGGACGATTTGCATTTGTCAGGACGCAACAGTCCCGTTGATCCGTGGCGATGAAGTCCCAGCAATGGTTTTTTGGCACGATTAAAGATTCTCAGACGGTTGTCTTCTAATTGGCCACTTCTCGCAATCAAGCTACATTCTTGTAGGGACCGATGGAGAAGGAACTTGGAGGGAAGGTGTATTGCAACATCGTTGATGCGTCTTGAGTTTTCATGGGTCCGTCTCCTCCAGCGCAAAGGGGAGTCCTGAGAGTTTGGCGTTGCAGTTTTTTCACACCGGACGTTTTCGCTTTGATACGGGCACTGGGGCCATCACAGAGATCGATCCAGTTCGCAAAAATGAAGCCGAAATGTGGGTCTTTATTCTATAGGACGCCGGTCGTGATTTTTTGGGCAAGGTTGCCACTTTATGTTCGCAGCGTCGCGTCTTAGGGAAGGGGCGCCGACGGGCTCGGGTCGGATGAAAGGCGGGGGCTGGGAAGGGGAAGGCGACAAGATCTTTGCATGCAGTTGGTTTAGGCCCCGACGCCGGTCGATTGCAAAAAAACGAAGGATTGCAAAAAACGAAGGATTGCAAAAAACGAAGGATTGCAAAAAAACGAAGGATTGCAAAAAACGAAGGATTGCAAAAAAACGAAGGATTGCAAAACAACGAAGGATTGCAATCCTAGGTTGTTTTGCAATCCTTCGTTCAAGTGAGGGTTTGTTTGCAATCCTTCGTTTGCAATCCTTGTTTTTTTTGCAATCCTTTGCACTCCCTCGATACAGATGTGCCTCCCAGCGCGGGGAGGCGCCAGGGGAATCGGCTGCGCGAGCTGATCGGCCAATCCCTCCTTTGGTGTCACCCTCCTTCGTCCGGCCCGAGTGGCGCCAGGGGGGGCCGCCTCCTCGGGAAGGCGGGGGGGGTGCTTTGGAGAGGGCCGGGGGTGCTCCGTGGAGTTTCGGAGGCCCTGACGGCCTCCGAAAGGCATGCACGGAGGATACAAAGAGCCCCTAACCCTAACAGCATAGTTCGGGGGAGCGTAAGACCCGGGTTTGCCGGAACTCGGGTTCGCCACCGTTTTTTGACGACCGCGCCTCGGATTTTGACGAGGAGGAGTCTCGTGGGATGTCTGCAGCGGGAGGCCTCGTCAAAATGCAGGCTCGGCCTCGTCATTTTTTTGACGACCTCGTCGGGGATTTCCGAGTCCCCTGTACCCAGGTCTTACGTCCCCCTGAAAAAGGCATGCACGGAGGATACAAAGAGCCCCTAACCCTAACAGCACAGTGAAAGCGTGGCCTCACTTAAGCCACCGTCTTTGCATTCGGGATCACAAATCCGGGCGGTCTGGCTTCATGCTCCTGCAGAGAAGACCCCCAATCCCTAATGTTGCTGGTCCTCCTAACTTAGGTCCCCCCCCAAAGGGTTAGGGGTCCGTTTACCCGTCGGTCGTTGAAAGCAGGCATGTTTGGATCCTCAGATCCCAATCTACTTCAAGCGCCCTCCGATTCAAGAGTCGGTATGCTTTTGTTGTGCTTCCTTCTTCTCTGGGAGGGCCTGAACCCAGTCTGCTTGATCCACCTTCCTACTTCACGTTTTGGCCTAGCCCTTCCGACGGGCGTGTGGGGCCCCTCCTCCTGGCCCCTCCGAGAGGGCCCTTCGGACGTGCAGGATCCTCTGAGCACTGATCCTCCTGACTCCTCTGACGGGGCCCTTCCTGACCCCCCTCTGAGAGGGCCCTTCCTCCCGACCCCGCCGAAGGGGCCCTCCCTCCTCCTCGAGAGGGGGCTCTTCCGACCCACGTGCAGGGGCCCTCGCAGTGCCCATCCTCCCGGCCCCTCTGAGAGGGCCCTCCGGCCTTCTGCGGGGAGCCCCCTCCCGGGCCGCCCCCCTCGCACGGTCCACACCGCTGCGACGGCTGCGCCGCCAGAGGTGGCCCCGGCTCAGGGTGGCCCCCGGCCCTCCGAGGGCCCAGAGGGCTCCAGGACCCTCCCGCCGGGCCACGGCAGAATCGCGACATCCAGCGCTTGCCCCTCGGGGCCCTCAACTGGGCCCCGAGGGGCGCGCAGCCGCGCATCGGGATGAGAAGCTGGCCCCCAAGGAGGGGGTCCAGCCCTCCGGGGGCGAGAAATCATACAAAAACAGGACCTCGGGGGCCAGGGCCCCAGGGGGGGGGGCTCCGGGGCGCGTCGCGCGCAGCTGGGGGCACCCGGGGGGCCGGGAGCGCCCCTGGCATGACGGGCGTGTTTTCCACCACCACCACCACCACCACCACCACCACCACCACCACCACCATAAGTTGGAGGGGAGAAGGAGGAGGAGGAGGACGACGAAGAAGAAGAGGAGGAGGAGGAGGAGGAGGAGGAGGACCCCCTCCCCCTCCAACTTATGGTGGTGGTGGTGGAGAGCAGGCCCATCATGGCAATCTCCCATTGGTGCGCGCCGCCGGCAGGAGTGCGCGCGGTAGCGGGAGCATGGGCTCCGGACCCGCGGTGCTGGCGCGGCGTGCTGGCCCACGCGCTGCCGCGCGCGAGCAGCCTGCTTCGGCCACGGGGCGGGGCGGGGCCCTCGTCGCTGCCGGCCGGGCTCGGCTCCGGACGCTGGGCCCGAGCCGCGTCTTGGGGGAGGCTCGCTGGCAGGCTTTGGTCAGAGCGTGAATTACCTACCCCGCTTTCGCTTCCAGGAAACACCAAGTCATACCACGCGCCTCCTCGTCAAGCGGCCGGACCAGTACAGGCCGTAGTTTGGCACCGCTTGGTATCTCTTGGAAGCGAGGGTGGTCAAAAGCGCGGTAGGTTTGTTTCCCCCCTATTTGGTAGGAACCGCAGGGGAGGAAGAATGCCGTCGGCACGGATGGATTCTCCTCGAAGTTTGAGACAGAACACGCTCCGGGGGAGGTCCACGTAGTAGCGGTATCAGTATTTGTTCGCTCCCCCAGGGAAGAGTGGAGGTATCAGGTCAGACGGGGGTCAGAGGCAAAGAGTTAGGGGGGGGGATAGGCTCAGGCAGGAGTGTGCATAGACCCCCTATCACCTACTGCTCGCCGATAGGGGCCCGATAGATAGCCCACTCCGCCCAGGAACATGCGGCTTCGATATCGGGGGTCTATCGCCGATCTATCGCTGATGTATCGCCGATGTTCAGAAATTGGGCAAGGGGAGATTGGTACGAAGTCTGCTGCGTGACAGCTGGTTTCGGCTCCGCCACCTGGCGCTTTCCTTCATGCATGGGCGCGTCTGACACAGGGAGGCGCTGGGAAACCCAGCCCTGTGAGCTGATCGACCACCCCCCGCCTTCCCTTTCGTCTGACCCGAACGTAGGAGGTTGCCGCGGGTGTGACAAAAACCCGGTGCCCATTCTTAGGCTCGCGTGGGCAAGTAGGCGGCGTTTCTGTCTGAGCGGCATAGTTGTTTCGTTTTCTTCGGCTGGTACCTTTTTTCCGTAGTGGTCTTTTGCCGTTTATGTTTGTTCGTGAAGTTGAATCAGCCGCGCTGCCAGAACAGCAGTAGCACCTGCGCGCCTGCGCACGTCTAGTGCGCACCTGCGCACTGGCAGAATGTCTGGTGCGCACCTGCGCACGTCTAGAGGCCCTGAATGTATTCCCACACAGAGAATGCCTGTGACAATTCGCAGATGCTGTGGCATGCCGAACCGCCACGGATCCCATAAGTTGGGACGCAACGGGTGAGCCGGCGTTTGCATAAGATCATTGCAGTGGTATTGGTTTGCGCCATCCTCTTTTCATTGCTAACCCTTTCCCCACCCGTAGCAATCCAATTTGCACTGACTGTGTTCCTCGCAGTTCGTCTTTTGGGTCGCACCTCGTCCAGCAGAGGGGCCAGAGCCGAGATGTCATGCAGTGTGATAGCACCTTGCCAGACGGCGGCAACACCAGTTGTAGTGACGCATGCCTCTACATTGTCTGGACTGGAGATGGCCAGCCCTTGAAGGGCAGGTAAGTTTGCTTTACGGCTGGACGGTCTTCGAGAAGGGGCATGTTGGGGACAGGTCGTCGGCAATTCAGAGCCAAGCTCTGAGCAGGAAGATACGGGCAAAAGGTATTGGTGTATCCTGTGTGCACGCAAGACGACGTCACACCCGCACCTTGGATGTTCCCTCGCGTTTCATTGCCCTCCTCCTCCTCCTCCTCCTCCTCCTCTTCCTCCTCCTCCTCCTCCTCCTCCTCCTCCTCCTCCTCTTTCTCTTCCCCCCACGCTGCCATCTCCGCCGCCGCTTCCACGCCCCTCGTGCCGTTTTCTGGGAGACGCCGACCAGGAGGGGTGGGGGGGCGGGCGGCTGGCCCAGGGGGGGGTGGACCCACTGACCCCCCATCGCCCATGCGTCGCCGATCCGGGCCTGGGTGCCCCCCCTCCCCCTCCACCCCGCCTGCAGGAACGCGTGCGGCTCCGCTCCGGGCGCGGCACCGACGGAACCAGAAGCCCCCGTCGTCTGCACGGGGGGGGGGGCGTGGCCAGCCTGGACGGGGGCAAGGACGGAGGGGCGGGCGAGCGGCGTCAGAAGCTCGGAGGAGGAAAAGGCACCCACAGCGCTACCCGCCCCTCGTTTTACCCTTTGGGGGGGCCTCCTGGGGCGGCACTCGCCACCTCCGCTGGATTCGCTTCGAGATCCTGCTCAGAACGCACCCCAGGAGAGGTCCAGGGAGTAGCGGCATCGGTACCTTCTAGTGTCCCCAGAAACGAGCAGACCTCAGAGCCAGCAGCGGGCACCCCTGACCCCCAAGATCTGCTCTGAGGACAGGCTGCAGGTTCCAGGGGAAGTGCACGTGCCCCTCGTCCAGGCCTGCTTGGGCGCGGCTGTGGGGGGCCCATGGGGCTCCTGGCCAAGCGGGGCAGGCCACAGCCGACAGGGCTGGCTTGGACTGCACAGAACTGTCCTATAGGAGGAGCGGATCGGCGGCGAGCCCATGGGGGAGTGCAGGAGGGGGCGGGCCTTGGCAGAAGACTCGGAAGGCCCTGGGCCGTCTGAGAAGGAGGGAGGGAGGGAGGGAGGAAGGAAGGGAGGGACTTTTCTGAGCCTTCTCTCCGAAGACAGAGGTCGCTCCTCAGAAGGCCGGGGGCTTCTGAGAAGCGCAGGCGCCCTCTGAGCAGGCCTGCTCTCTCTCTCTCTCTCTCTCACTTCCCCCCCGGGCACCGCCGAGCAGGGATGATGATGATGATGATGATGATGATGAGGAGGAGGAGGAGGAGGAGGAGGAGGAGGAGGAGGAGGAGGAGGAGGAGCAGGAGGAAGGAGGAGCAGGAGCAGGAGCAGGAGCAGGAGCAGGAGCAGGAGCAGGAGGAGGAGGAGGAGGAGGAGGAGGAGGAGGAGGAGGAGGAGGAGGAGGGAGAGCAGCGCTTCCTGGGGGCGGTCTGGACGCCGATGTTGGCTTGGCCCGCCCCTGAGGCCTAGACCCCAGGGTTCTGCCCCCTCGGCGGGGAGGGCGCCCAGCTTGGGCTCCCGGTCCTCCCTGGGGCCCCCCGCAGGAAGAGGAGGACGAGGAGCAGGAGGGAGTGGGATGCATGCCTTGTGTCTCCCCTTCCCTTCGCCCCCCCTCCCCACATGGCTCGAGTCGATTCGGCTTGGCCGCGGCCGCGCGGGCCCGACTCGGACGCCATGAAGGGTGCCTCTCCGAGGCGGGGATGTGCACATGACCACCGCCTGGAGGACCGATGCTCGGAGACCTCGAGAGGCGGTGGATACGGGTTCCCAGGACGTCGGCTCCCAGGCGGTTGGTACCCGTCGGTCGTGGAATGAACGTAGGTATTTCTGGATGCCCAGATCCCAGTCTACTTCAAGCGCCTTCCTGCTTCAAGAATCGACCTGCTTCTGCTGTGTGTCCGTTCTTCTCTGGGAGGGCCTGAGCCCAATCTACTTTGGCCGCCTTCCTACTTTGTGCTTCTGCCCACTGCCCACAGTCGACGCGCCCAGCAGGGACGCGCGGCTTCATCTAGGGTACCCTCGTGTCCTTGCCTCCGCAGCCCGTCCTCTGCCGCTTCCACTGGCCGCCCGTCGCCCAAGGAATCCACGCTTCGGCCTCCCGGGGCCTCGCGCCCTTGCCGCTCGCCCTCGCTATGCGGCTTCCCTGCACGTCCTCCGACCGACGGGTGGCTCCCCGCCGCGCAGCGCCGGCCCCCGGGGCCCCGGGGGGGGGGGGCGCGTGCCCCGGTGGCGCCACGACGGGCGACCCGCACGGCCGCGGGAAGGGGGGCTCTTCCCGCGCCTGGCACGCGGTGGGCGCCCCTCGAGGAGCCGCGGCCCGTCGGGGACGAGGAGCCCGTGCTCGGGGCGCCCGGGGGGCGTCGCCCGACCGCCGCAGCCCCTCGGCACCGCTGCTCGGCGGCGAGCTGCCGAGTGCGGTCGTTGGGCGGCGACGGAGCCGGCTCGCATCACCATGTCCTCCCGTGTCTTGCTGCGTGGCAGGCTAACATTTTCCCCGCGGCAGACGGCGTGGAGGACAGTCTCCCCGTCGGGGTCGCAAGGCTCGCTTGGACTCATCCTCCAGGTGCTGACCCTCCTGCTCACGCCCACCCTCGCCTTTTCTCCTGTTCTCCTCCTCCCCATCCTCCCCCTCCTCCATCTCCTCCCCCTCCTTCTCTTCCTCCTCCTCATCCATTCCTCCTGCGGGCATGTAACTGGGGTCACAGGGCCTACCACGTCAACCCCTGGCTCTGGAAGAACCTGCACGCGGTTCACCATTGGGCTCGACACCGTCGCGAAACACGTCTTAGGACCCCTCATTGGTTTACTCGTATTCATGTTCCGCATGTGTTCCGTCTTCTTTTTGCTTCCTTCTTCCCATCCTCTTCCTCACGACAATTGGCTTGAGAGTATCATCGCTCACTTTGCTGGACACGTCGCTGCGCAGACGCACAGATGCCACATGACCATGACTGGCACCATACTGCTGCCCGCAACTGGCCTTGGAGTCGGATATGTGCACCGCTTCTGCTGGAATCATGTTGTCCGCCCCATCTTCGCCCAACAAAAAAGATGGCTGGCACCACCAAGGGCACAAGTCTTGCAATGTCACGGTCTCTGCGCTCGGCGGCGTGTGGGATTGCATGTTCGGCACTCGCAAGACGGGTCGCTCTGGGGCAGCGCCAGACCAGATGACAGCACACGACCGTCCCCCTGCTGATTCCAATTTGCGCGGCCTCAAGACACCCGAACACTTGCCTCGTGCCGTCTACCCCGTTCATGATGACGGTGCTGTGGAAGCTGAACAGCGGCGGGCAGTGAAGTGTGAGAATTCAAGCGGGAAGTGCCGAATCTACGGTCTCGTGGCTTCCATATCCATTGTTGGCCGCTCTTGGCAGCGTCCCTGTGATCCAAGCAATCTCGCAGAACACGCGAGCAGCCTGTGATCATTTTCCAAGTCGTTCGCCGCACGTATTCTGGCAGCTCTTATCACCCAGACGAGTTACAGCAATTGGTCAGCCAGAAATCCTTGGGAAGAGCAGAAGCCACATTGAGTCTGAACTTCTGTGCCAGAGCATGCGACCTGCCCTGCACAGGAAAACGTCTTGGAATAGACTATCTGAGCCACAGACTCTTGGCTGACCGTACACATTCTTCAATTCTATGTCTTCAAAAGTTCTTTGATTTTTGGGGGGGCAAGATCCTTTCATTTCTAATTGTTCTATCCTGGGCCTCTTCCTGGCCACTCGGGGGCCAGGAATAAGTAGAAACGAGCACAATCAGAAATGAGCACGATTAGAAATGAACGACGTGTAGCCAGAACCGCAGCCTGGTGCGCCAGGCAACTTTCGCACCCGGTGCGCGCGAACCGACACTTTTTGGAAAGAGCAAGGCTCGGCGCCGGGCGTGGACCACGCCTACAAGGATGCTGCCGCCGAGCACGGTGGGCGCGAAATTCGTGTGCCGACGAGCATCGGGGGGGGTGAAGGAGGACCGGTTGCCACGCGTGGTGGGGCAGGCGAACCTGGCATCCCAATGGAGAGGGGCGAGTGAGGCCCAGACTCCGGCAGTTCTGCTTGCACGGAGGGGGCGGGGGTTTGGGGGGCGTGGTGAGGCCCGAAAGACAGCTGGACTTCCCGCAAGTGGGGACTCGCCTTCCTGCCTTTTCGGCCCAGCGCTGTTTGAACGAGCAGCGGGGGCAGGTAGGGGGGCTGGGCGCGGGGTGGGGGATGGGAGGGCGGGGGAGCGGAGAGGGGGGGCGGGGGGGGCCTGCGGACGGACGTGGAGGGGGACGGGGAGGGGGGGAGGCGAACTGCCAGGCTGGTCAACCTGGTTGAGCCGAAAGCAGAAGTGGAACGCCCTCGGATACTTCCCCCCTGCCCCCCCCTCTGTGCAGTGCCGTTTTCAATACATCCTCCGCGTGCGGATCATGTATTAAAAATGCAGGGATCTAGTATTAAATGCAACGATGAGTTCATGCATACACGTATTCATACATTAATCATGTATTGATTTCTATATAATATAAAAAAGAAAAGACTATGTATTAAAGACTGCTTGCTGCCTGCTTTCAAGGCCCAAGGGGTCGCGACCGCCTCTGGCCGCCGCCGGCGCGGGGACCTGGGCCCACGGCCGACATGGTCGCCGCGGTGGCCATGCCGGAGCCCAACGGAGAGAAGCAGGTGGCCTGGGGGATCTTCTGTGTCTCCTCCCCCCCTCCTCCTCCTCCTTATCCTCCTCCTTCTCCTCCTCCTCCTCCTCCTCCTCCTCCTCCTCCCTCCTCCTCCTCCTCCTCCTCCTCCTCCTCCCTCCGCCTCGGGGCACCTTTGGTCAGGAGGGGGCTTCTCAGGGAGCTTGGCGAGGCTTGGATGACAGATAGGTTCCGTTGTTGTCTGCAGTCCCGCATGGTGGGACCTCCTCGACACGATTGTCCTCTCTTCTCACAGGTTGTTGCAGGTTCCTGTCGAGCCACCCTCCCGAGCAGAAACTCGACGGAAGCTTCGGATCGCCGCGAGGTAGCGTTTGGGCCATGTGCTTCGTGGCACCCAGGCCCCCCCTTTTCCAATGTCAGGAGGGAAAAACACACAGACACAATTAATCTTCGATTCCCCAGGGAAATATGGGAAAATATGGAA